AGTACAAGCTGACACCCTGCAATCCCCCCAACTCCCAGGTGGGATCTGTGTGACATTCCTCAGACACTGCTGGCCGCCCTAAAACTAAGGGAAGGTAAAAACTTAACTGAGCCATCCAGGGGCCCCATCTTTCATGCTCTTTTAAAAAAATTATTGTGGTACTTGGATGGCTCAGTCTTAAAGTGTCTGCCTTCGGCTCAGGTCATGATCCCAGGGTCCTGGGATCAAGCCCCACGTTGGGCTCCCTGCTCAGCGGGAAGCCTGCTTCTCCCTGTCTCACTCCCTTTGCTTGTGTTCCTTCTCTCGCTGTCTCTCTCTCTGTCAAATAAATAAATAAAATCTTTTTAAAAAAATTATTACTAATAAACTTTATTTTTAAGAGTAGTTTTAGGTTTAAAGAAAAATTGAGCAGAAAATACACAGTTCCCGTACCCCATCCTCCCCTTCCCCACCACACACACAGTTTCCTATATTATTAACATCTTGTATTATGTAGTATATTACAGTTTGGAACCAGTATTGATACATTATTAATTGTGGTTTACATTTGGGCCCATTTTGTGTATTGTACAGTTCTTTGGGGTTTGACAAATGTTGCTGATGCATGTGGTGTTGTGCTTTTATTTATTTAAGTTTATTATTACTGTTATTTTTCTTTTTTTAGTAATCTCTATACCCAATATGGGGCTTGAACTCACAGCCCTGAGATCAAGAGTTGCATACTCTTCCATCTGAGCCAGGCAGGTGTTGTGCTTTTAATTCCAGGTACCAGTTGTTACTGCTGGTTTATAGGAAAGCACTTGGCTTTTATATATTAATCTTATATTCTACAGCCTTGCTAAAATTGCTTATTCCAGAAGTTTGTTGTTGTTGTTATTTGGGATTTTCTGTGTAGACAGTCATGTCATCTGCAGACACAAAATTTTATTTCTTCCTTCCCAATCTGTATACCTTTTATTTCCTTTACTTGTCTTACTGACTTAGCTAGGATTTGCAATATGGCATTGAAGAGGAGTGCTGAGTAGGGGCATCTTCGTCTGATTCCTGATCTTAAGGGGAAAGCATCTAGTTTCTTGTCATAAAGTATGACGTCAGCTGTAGGTTTTTGGTAGATGTTTTTATCAAGTTAAGAGAGTTCTTCTGTGTTCCTAGTTTGCTGAGAGTTTTTATCAAGAATGAGACAACATCAGACCTAGCCATATTTAGCCTAACCGTGCTTAGTGTAAGTGTAAGCGTATTTCTTTTTTTTTTTTTTTAAAGATTTTTTTTTTTTATTTATGAGAGGGGGAGGGGCAGAGGGGGAAGCAGGCTCCCAAGGAGCAGGGAGCCCGATGCGGGACTCGATCCCAGGACTCCGGGATCATGACCTGAGCCGAAGGCAGACCCTTAACCATCTGAGCCACCCAGGCGCCCAGTGTAAGCGTATTTCTTAAAACATGGTCCTTATTGCAGTATTTTGTACTATGTTTAATTCTCAGTATGCTCTGAGATAGAAGTTAAAACCAAGCTTTAATTCTAAATGAAAAAGAAAACAGTTTTTAAGATGTGCCTTTGTAACTGCAATTTAGAATTTCCAAGTTAATTCAGAAAATACTAGCTTTTTCCATAAGGGACTCTTAACTCTAGGATAGATGCCAGGTTTGCTGGAGGGGAGGTTAGTGGGGGGGATGGGGTAACTGGGCGATGGGCGTTAAGGAGGGCACACGATGTAGTGAGAGCACTGAGTGTAATATACAACTGATGAATCACTGACCTCTACCTGAAACTAATAATACATTATATATTAATTGAATCTGAATAAAATTTAAAAAAGAATGTGTTGGATGTTGTCAGATGCTTTTTATCTGTTGATATGATCGTGATTTCTCTTCTATAGTGTATTGGTGTGTTGGATTATATTAATTGATTTTCTCATGTTGGATCAGCCTTGCATAGCTGGAATAAATCCTACTTGATTACAGTAAGGATTTTTGTATCTGTGTTCATGAGAGATATTGATGAGGAAGCAGAAGGCCAGCTGAGGGCACAGTACAAGCTGACACCCTGCAATCCCCCCAACTCCCAGGTGGGATCTGTGTGACATTCCTCAGACACTGCTGGCCGCCCTAAATCTAAGGGAAGGAAAAAAACAAATGGTTAATAAAGATCACAGTCATGAGTCTCCATCAGTTTACAAATGTCTTAGTGATTTAGAAGAAAAAAGGCATTCTTATCAATAACCTAACTTCCAGAAGGAAACTCTAAATTAGCTTAATGTTATTGCTTTATTATAGGGAAAAACAATCTTAACTTTACCAAGGCAAGGCCTCCAGTATCT